TCCGAATTTAATATCTACCGAACACACCGTAAATGTACTTTTTCTCAGCTACACTTGGTGCACGACAAGCACATAATACATAAGATAATAACTTTACTATAGACATGCAGCGAAATACTATTGAGAATTTACGCACAAATCGCAACATCTATCAATGAGGGTACTATATCTAAATTCTTCGAGTACATGTCTGATATCTTGTAAAATTATGTAGCTCAAATATGGGCGTCCATCTTTGGACTTTGGCTTTGCTAAGTAAAGTAAGAGACTGTTTGGTACAGATTCTNATTCGAATGAAGTAAAATTTTTTTCTAATACACGCAAAAATGTGAAGACCTGGCTTTCAAAATTGGATCTCAGGGTAGGTCCTAGTGCCTTCGTGACAATTTTTTGGATGAAAACGTCATTTTCAAATAATAGAAGGTTGAAGTTAGGGAAACAATGAATAAATATTGAACTCAGATTCCCCAAACTGCACCAGAAGACAAACAAAACCTCAATACTTAGAGCCTGTTTGGTAAAAATTTTCATTTTCTACAGTAAATCAATTCTTATTTTCAACCACACATTTTTCAATAAAATAATATTTTCCATCGCATCAATACTTTTTTCTCCTTTTTCAACAACACATTTTCCATCATATCACTATTCAAAAATCAATTCTTCCTCCAAAAATTCCTACCAAATACACTCTAAGTTGTGCATGACTCTGCTCAGGGAAAAGTGTATTTTGTTTGAAAAGTAGAAAAAATTATAAATCTCGTAGAATGTGCAGTTAAAAATAATTTTGGAGGAATATATCCCTACAAGCCTCTGGTAAAGTTTGCTGTAATACTTTATAGAAGTAAATTTTTAATAAAATCCACAGTGCAATTTCAACTGAAACAGGGGATTGCAGAAATTCCTGGCATGTCATTATCCTTCGTCTCTTTCTCTCGCGCCCAAACACGCTAATGCGATTTCTCACAGATTTGCATACCTATTAATTTTTATTTATTTATTATTTTAATTTTTTTGCGGTGTTCTTTGTTTGGATATTAAAGGTTCGATCTTTTTCCGTATTTGCAGATTTTAGAATCGTCATTGGCAAAACTTTTTGACACAACTATGATGCTCTTGAGTCGTATAGATCCAGTTCGTATTGAATTTCGATCAATTGGACAAAATCAGGTTTAACTTTTTTTTGCCCCTGACTTACCTTCCGGGCTGTGTAATTGGTGTTCTTGACGTGTACCTTCTTGTAAACTCTTCTCAGATTTCGGGTGATAGAGTAAATCCTCTGCTCAAATGCGTGTTTTTGAAATCCAGTATTTCTTCTGTCCCCAAGGCGAAGAATTTCACTGTTGTTGCAGAGAAGGTTATTGTTTTTTCATTTAACAGCCCTAAGTATTTTGGATATTCTTATCAAATAAATATATTTTCTCGCTACTTAGGTAATAGGCATCTCTGCTGTTAACCTGCCCCATTGTCGACCTTTATTAAAATCCAACTCAGGTGACAAGTAGGTGATTTTCTTCTCCTTTAAGTGTGATCATATTTAGCATTTCCAAGTGGATGGATTTTTTGTGTTGGCAATCAATGGCGATATATTTTGATGAATTGTGTTGGGCGAAACTTGTCTGAGTTTTTTGCTAGAATTTATTTTGTGTCTCTTCTACGTTTATAACTAGTTTTCTTCCTGGGAAATGCAGGAAAATAATTCAAAGGGCCGGAAAGAAAGAACACCACTTGTGGAATAAACGAGATTCTGTTGGTTCTGGACAAAAGGCATTAAATCTTGTTCGAATTGTATGTATAACTAGACATGTCACTTGTTTGATTTTATAAACACTCACTGTTGAGTTTAAAGCGATGATTGAGTTCTATAGTTGCATTCTTTGCATCATGTACACTCAAAATAAATTTGAGTGTTATAGTACTCTTCAAGAAGCAATTGTGAATTGGCAGATGTCTGGACTTCCAAATGAAAAAGATGCAGTTTATGGTGCACTGGATAGATGGATAGCTTGGGAGACAGAATTTCCATTAATTGCCGCCGCCAAGGCCTTAAGAATCTTAAGGAAGAGGAATCAGTGGAAGCGAGTTATCCAGGTACGAAACTTCAAAACTGTATTGTAAGTTTTGAGTTTTATTAAGAGTTGAATTTTTATTTCACAATTTGACATTAATTCAATGACCTTGAACGCAGTCATTTCTTTTGAATGTACATTTATAAAGCTTACTGTGGATAAAATTGGCGACTTTCCTGCCTAACTATTCTATTCTTCATTTATATTGCAACATCTCCTAGTTTCCCCCATAAAATCAGCAGCAAGAGCAATTTGCTTAAGAATATGATCAGTGTAAAGTCTTTTTAGGTTTGCACTTCTGTTGAGTTATACCCTGATTACTTTCAATGTACTGACGAGTAAATATGCTTCAAATATTATGATCATAAATATGTTAGGGCTTGTTTGGGACAGCTTCTATTTCTACTTTTGTGCAAAAGAAGAAGAGAAGTAGAAGCCAGAGCTTTTGAATTAGTGTCTGGAAACTAATTTCTTAAAGAGCTTTTACTTTTGTTTGGTATGAATAAGCCATGAGCTATTATAGTATAGTGTTGACAATGATAATCTTACCCTTAATGAAAAAATGAATTAAGGTTATTCTCAAAATAAATAAAATAATTAGAATTTGTTTTTTCTTTGTTTTTTAGTTGATAAGAATCGACAGCCCCCTTTTTATTTTTTAAATTTGGGAAGGAGGTGGAATTTTATTTTGTTGTCTACAATGTAAGGAATAACGTTGGACTGTTAAAAGATTCATTAAAGTAGGTGAATGCTTCCCGGGTTTCTTTTTTTTTTTGGAAGAGCTTCCCGAGGAAGATATCTTGGGCAACTTCATTTAAAAACTCTTTTAATTAGACAAAACACTTTCATAAAATGATTAAAATAGGCCCAAAAACTTCTTAGTTTCGAAAGCCTTTTTTGGCTTTTCAAACGCCCCGCCAAACTGGCCCTTGCTCTTCTTGGTATGAAATGCCAAGCAACTTCATTCTGTGATCATTTTTGAGCCAATTTACTTGGGCATATTGCCATATCCCATATACATGATTTATAGTCTGGTTGGTTGAACATAGGTTTGATTTCTGATTATTTCGATTGTCACTGCCTTGACTCTGGTTCTACGTTGCTTCTCCTAATGCTCAGGTGGCCAAGTGGATGTTGAGCAAAGGTCAGGGAGCAACAATGGGAACTTATGACACCCTTTTATTGGCATTTGATATGGATGGAAGGGTAGATGAAGCGGAATCGTTATGGAATATGATTTTGCATACACATGAACGCTCTATCTCGAAAAGGCTATTCTCTCGAATGATCTCTTTGTATGATCATCACAATGTACCAGAAAAGATTATAGAGGTAATATTCAGAATGTGCGTCTGTTTTGGTCTCTTTTATTAAGAAAACTGGTTCTGCAATTTTCCCATCCTCTCTTTATAAGCTTTCTTATCCCCTAAATTCCATTAACGTCTGTAAAGCTCAAAAGCAGCTCTCGACAAGTTTATAGTATTCCATTAACTTCTGTAAAGCTCAAAAGCAGCTCTCGACATGTTTATTGTATTCAAATGGCATGTTTGATAGGGATGAATGGATAGTGCTGGACATTATTAAGAAAGAAAATAAGCTAAATTCTTGTTAATTATGATGTTGAGTCTTATCTAGTACTGCTTAGCAAACGTGCACCAAGTTCATTGTTTCCCAATTTATGTCTTCAGGCATTTGCTGACATGGAGGAGTTGGAAGTGAAGCCAGATGAAGATACCATCAGAAGAGTTGCACGTGCCTTCCAAATGATAGGTCAAGAAGACAAGCAGAGACTGGTTTTATCCAAGTACCTAAGCAAATGGAAATATATCCACTATAAAGGTGAAAGGATTAGGGTGAGAAGAGATGCTTGGGACGATTAAAGCTGGTGGTAGTCGGGCAAGTGCAAAGAGGGTCAACGCAAGTCTCGATATCTCATACGGAGTCTAAATAATACCGAGAGTTCTAGTGTAAGACCCAATTGAAATTTACATTTAGAAAAGTTTTTGCTGTTGAGACAGAGTGATCTGAAGTCTGAACGCTACCTGATGCGAATTGCTGTCTTTGACTGATTCTCCATTGCATTATGAGGCTGGTATAATAAACAAAGTTGACGCTGATGCCGATGCCACAAAATGCCTACACGACTATACCTATCATTGTAGTGAAAAATATGCTACTGATTCCTTTGTAATATTCCACAGTAAATCACCATCGATAAGCATGACTAGAAGAAAATGATTGCTGGACTGCTAATAACGCTCATTGTATGGTACATGCTAATGCTCACGATTTCAACAGCATATCAGTGATTTGGAGCTCTCGAAAAGTATTTAGTGCCCATTTCAGTAAACTCTCCATCATTTTTCTTTGGCTGAGCGGTATATATTTTCATGGTGCTCGTTTTTCCAATTATGAAG